AGAGAGAGAGAGAGAGAGAGAGAGAGAGAGAGAAAGAAAGAAAGAAAGAAAGAAAGAAAGAAAGAAAGAAAGAAAGAAAGAAAGAGAAAAAGAAAGGAGAAGAGGAGGAGGAGAAGGTGGCGGCCCTTCCCACAACAGCAGGAGCACTCTGCCGTGGGTTAAGACACCCTGCTTCATGAGAAAACCTTGTTTGCTGTTCCCACCACTGATTTGGACCACATGACCCTTCCACTCATCACCCAGAGCATCAGCAGCTACTTCCGTGGCCATGGCTTCTCATAGAAAATACGAAGTTTGCGTTCAGTATCCACATCAATGCGTTTCTGACAGCCAGTGACTGGGAAGGAGATACTCAGCTTCATCTTGACACAGCTGACCACCTGGGGGTGCCATGAAAGAGAATTAAGCGAGCTCCCAATTAATTGATTGATTGATTGATTTTTATGGTTTTTTGAAACAGGGTTTTTCTGTGTAGCCCTGGCTGTCCTGGAACTCACTCTGTAGAGCAGGATGGCCTCGAACTCTAAGATCTGCCTGCCTCTGCCTCCAGAGTTCTGGGATTAAAGGTGTGCGCCGCCGCCGCAGCCGCCGCCGCCGCCGCCGCCACCACCACCACCACCACCACCACCTGGCCCCAATTTAGTCTTATTTTAAATGTCAACTATGTCCTCGTCTAGGTCCTCAGGAAGATTGACAGACAAGCGCATTCAAGCCCCTGTCTTTAAGAACCTAGCACTCTAGGGGATAAGAAGAAGGATTAAAAAGCATTCACAAATAAGAAAACACCTAGCAATAATAAAACTAGAAATAACTATTGCATGACTGGCTAGAGAGTGATGTGTAAAATACCTTAAGTCAAGGGATCAGTATGGGAGCCCACAGAGGTTTCCTAGTGAGATCTGAGCTTGCTTTACACAGCAGGGCTGCATTAGGGGATGGCTGGACCACGTGCGTGTGCGTGGTCACCAGGTGTCTGGGATGCTCTGCACTAGGCTGTGCCGGAGGTGGGGTGGGGTGGTGGTGTGGAGGGGAGGTCTTTTGTTCCAGCCCTGGGCATTCCTTTAAAAGCCCTTTACTAGAGGCAGAAGAAGCTGGTAGGTAAGTATCCAAGCCCACTGAAGGCTATCCTGTGTTTCTGTCTCTCTCCTCCATATTTCTATCTAAATCTCTTATCTCTCACTCCTCAAAAGTCCCTGGGGTAAATAAATGTGGGAGCTGGTCTCCCACAGATCAGACCTTTAAACTAAGACCTGAAGCCAGGCATGACGGTTCACGGGAAGTTTGAAGCCAGCATGGGCTACATAGTATGTTTCAGGTGAGCCTGGGCTTCAGCATGAGAGCATCTGAAAGAAAAAAAAAAAAAAAAAACTGACTTAGCAATTAATTGATTGGCTGATTAAGATTGAGACCTGCAGGATAAGAACAGCTGTGGGACAGTCTGGGACAGTGTTCCAGGTAGAGGATAGACAGCTCCAGAAATGAGTGTGGTATTCTTCCACAGACAGGAAGAAGGCCAAGGTATCTGGAGTGAGGAGGCAGAGAAGGAGGGTGGTGGAACTGTGGGTAGAGGCCCAGCGTGAAGGTCCTTGAGGCCACGATAAAGAACTTGGGTTTTCTTCTAAGTGCGATGAGACACCACCAGATAGCTTTAGATAGGGACATGTCAGATCTGGCGTGCTTCTGAAGAGAGAGACGAAAATAGGCTGCTGAGTGAAGAGAGGCGTAGGAATCTAAGATGGATGTGAGCAGCCACAGAGAAGCTACTCAGGTACCCAAGTGAGAGGCTAGAACAGCCTGGACGGGAGCAGGGTGGCCGGAGAGGGAGGCGTCAGAATTAGGGCACAGATTGGGAAATGAGTGAACCAAGGATAACTTCCGGGGTGGTGAGGAAGCAGCTGGGCAGATGGTCCGTGATGAGGAAAGAGAAGTCTGCAGGGAGAAGTTGAGAGTCCTCTGCTAGGAAGAGTGCACTTGGCTGCCATCGGGAACCTGTCTGTTCTGTGACACATGAGCCATGGCGCTGGAATCCAGAGCTCGGAATTGAGGTCAGGTGTGGGCAGCTCACGGTCCTCAAGATGCACCACAGAGGTCACACAGCCAGGAATCCTGTCACTCGCGAGCCTGCCTCTGCTTCCAATTGCTCTCTTGTGGTTTTTTTACCCGTGCTTCTTTTGGTTTTAGTTTTTGGAAGTGTTTCACTCTTAGCCCAGCCTGTCTTGACACTCACCATGTAGCCAAGGCTAGCCTCAAAATCACAGGGATCCTCCTGCTTGGGGTTACAGGCATACCCACCAACTCTGCCTCAGCCACGCTTCTCCACAGAGTGGTTAACCCTCGCTCTTTGCCTCTCTTGCCAAACCTCAACTTAATCTAACCCTCTGGTAAAGCCAGCAGTGGGCGGGACTCTGACCGCTGTCATTTATGTCCACTATATTTCCTTACATGGCAAAAGGGACCCTGGAGATTCGATCAGGTTTATTGATCAGTTTACCTCAAGTTGTAGAAATTATCCGGATACTTGAATTGGTTTGGTGCAATCATGTGAGCCCTACGGACTAGATGTAGTACCATGGTATAGGGCTTGCCTATCTTTTCTGGGGCTCTGTTGGTCCATCCCAGAAGCCAACCAGCCAACAGAGCTGAAGTAAGGCAGGTCTGATGGTCCGTACTTATAATTCCAGAACTTTGGAGGTGGAGAGATGGGAGCCTCAGAAGGTCAAGGTCACCTTTGACTACATAGCAAGTTCTAAACCAGCCTGGGCTACAAGAGACCCTGTCTCAAACAAACAAACAGAAACCCTATAATATATAACAAACGGGCTATGGCTTAGTTGGTGGAGAACGTCTTCAGTGTGCAGAGTCCCGGAGCCCATTCTCAGCATCATACAAACCTATAGTGGAGGTGCGCACAGTACTCAGGACGCAAAGACAGGAGGATCAGAGGTTCGAGGTCATCCTTACCACACTGCAAGCTGGAGGTCAGCCTGGATACCTGAAACCCTTGTCTCAAAGAATAAACACAGTCGGACACACATAAAGTTAGGACAGAAGAGAAAGGCAGAGATTCCATTGAGGTGAAGTTAGAAGCCATTGCTGACTTAGAGGTACCTCAGCTGGGCGGTGGCGGCGCATGCCTTTAATCCCAGTACTTGAGAGGCAGAGCCAGGTGGATCTCTGTGAGTTTGAGGTCAGCCTGGGCTACAGAGCGAGATCTAGGAGAGGAACCAAAACTACACAGAGAAACCCTGTCTCAAAAAACCAAGGAGAGAGAGAGAGAGAGAGAGAGAGAGAGAGAGAGAGAGAGAGGTGCCTCGGTGGAATGTATGAGAGCAAACAAATTGGACTTAAAGGTGGGAGCTTGGTACAAGACCTTGACCCCCGGCTGAGAACAGGAGTCCCGGCCTATAGCTTCCTCTTGGGTCTATACGAGACGGATCGGAAGATCCACCGACGGCACGCTGAACTTTTGTTTGTATGCTTTGTTTTTCAGATAAGGGCCTCACTCTGTAGCCCTGGCTAACCTGAAACTCGCTGTGTGGCCCAAGCTTTGAACTTACAATAATCCTCCTGCCTCATCCTCCCAAGAACTGAGATTGTTTTTATTAGCATATATTAGTTTTATATAATAATGGGTTTCATGATGACATTTTCGTGTGTGTGTGTGTGTGTGTGTGTGTGTGTGTGTGTGTGTGTGTATGTATAATGTATTTTGATCACACACACACACACACACACACACACACACACACACACACAAACACACTTTTGTCTCCCTTCCTCTTCCTCTGATCCACTTCCTCTTCCCAGCTAGTGTCCCCTTATTTGCATGTCTTGTTTGGAGAGTTTCTTACAGGAACAGAGTAAATTGTTTACAACCGCATTAGCGGCTATACCACTGAGGAAAACGTCTCCATCGTCGAATTTCCATAAATCCTCAGGGAGGGGTGGGGCCAGGAGTCCTCCCTCCTCCATGCCACTGTGTCAACACGCCCAGCCTTGTGCAGATAATTTTTTTTATGGGAAGGGGGTCTCACTAGGTAACCCATACTGGTGCTGCTCCTGCCTCCACCTCCCTAGAGCTGGGATTGTAGTGCACCACTGTGTCCAGCAAACATATAGTTAACAAGAGAGAAATAATACAATCCCCAGGGACCTCACGTTGTCAGCCTCACTGGTTCTTTTTGGCTTTCATTTGTCATGACCTCCTCTGTGATATGCCAGAATTCCGACCATTACTATGCCATAAGGACCAACCATTTCACCTTCTTTTTGTGGAGACTCGATTCAGGTCCTTAGGAATACAAAATAAGCTCTCTCAAAGGAGCTATAGCCCCAGACCCATTTCTGCTTTCTGAAATAAAACCTCACTTTGGGCTGGGTGGTGGTGGTGCAGACCTTTAATCCCAGCACTCAGGAGGCAGAGGCAGGTGGATCTCTGTGAGTTCGAGGCCAGCCTGGTCTACAGAGTGAGTTCTGGGACAGCCAAAGCAACACAGAGAAACCCTGTCTTGAAAAACAAAAAACAAAACAAACAAATAAAACTTCAGTGTGGGGCCGCAGAGATGGCTCCATGGATCAGTAGTTGCTGTCCAGACATGAGGACAAATCCTCAGAGTCCACATAAAGCTGGGCACAGTCTTAGGTGTCCATAATCCTAGCTCTCCTACTGAGAGCCCGAAGGTGCAGACAGGAGGCTCCCTGAAGCCTGTAGACCAGCTAGCCTGGTGTCGGCTGCTGTGAACAGTAGAGATCCTGCCTAAACCAAAGAGGAAAGTGAGGACCCAGAGTTGCCCTCTGACTTCCACATGGGGGTGCCCCCCACTCACACACAACATTAATACACACAATCAAATACAGTCTGAGCCAGGCATGGTTACACACACTTTTAATTCCAGCACTCGGGAGGCAGAGGCAGGCGGATCTCTGTGGGTTTGAGTCCAGCCTGGTCTACGTAGTGAGTTCCAGGCAGCCAAAGCTACACAGAAGACCCTATCTCTAAAACCAAAACAAACAAAAATCCAATCTGGCAGAGCAGTGGTAAACCCAGCTGCCTTCCAAAATCTCCCCTCTTCCTCCTTCTGTAACGAGACGCTCTGTCCTTCCGATTGCGCCTTCTCAGGGTTCTAGGCTGAGCACATGCCTGCTTGGCTCTTTTCTTCGTGGACATATCTCCAAGGCTTCCATCTCTGACCTATATTCTGCGCCCTTTAGTGACGCCAAGCATGTCTTGACTGGATCTCAAACAGCACATATTCGTAGATGAGCCAGGGTAGTGCAACAGGGGGATGCAAAGAGATGTGGACTGGAGAAATGTGGGAGAGGTAAAACTCAGAAAAGATGGCTCAGCCAGGTGGTGATGGTGGTGGTGGCGGCGGAGCATGCCTTTAATCCCAGCAATCGGGAGGCAGAGGCAGGTGGATCTCTGTGAGTTTGAGGCCAGCCTGGTGTACAGAGCGAGATCCAGGACAGGCTCCAAAACTACACAGAGAAACCCTGTCTTGAAAACAACAAAAACAAAAAACAAACAAACAAAAAAACCAGTTAGAGATGGTTAGCAGGGCACTGGACTTGGATTTGCAACATAAAGGAGGGACTGGAAATGTCCATTTGGAAGCCATCAGTATATTATGCCTGGCACAACTGCGAGCCTATGGCGGATGACCACCGTAAGAGGTGGCCGTCACTTGTAGAGTCCCGGGACCTGAGCCATCAGCAGAAGAAAGAAAAAAAAAAGGTGACTCGGTGTACAATTCAAGAAGACACGCCCCAAAAGAAAAGGAAGCTGTCATGGAACGAGATGAGAAGTGGTTTTTCAGGGCAGAGGAAGTGATTGGCATCCTCATAAGCCATGGAAAGGGCACAAAGATAAGCCTGGATAGAATCTGTAGGTTTGTAAACTTGAGGTCACAGGAATTTTGTGAGGGAACTTTGAACACATTTCTGCGGTAGAAGTCTCAGCGTGGCACTCAGGAAAAAGTGAGAGTAGATTGGTAGACTGCACTGTCCTGAAACGTGGATGAGGATCCGGTGACAGGGGAAACAGGGGCTGAGGATGGCAGGGGCGTCTTCAGGGGGGCTTCTGTCATGAATCTTAGGGTCACCGGACTGTCCCGGACGGACCACATCCTGAAGCCAAGGGGAAGTCTAAATAAGCTCTCCAGATGTTTACTTTTAGTTATTTGTCACTTGCTTTTAGTAAACCTTAAAACCACTAATTGGGGTGGGGGGCGTGGAGAGATGGTCCAACAGTTACGAGCTCAGGCTGCCCTTCCAGAGGACCCCGGTTCACTTCCCAGGACTGACATGAGAGCTCATGACTGTCTGAACTTCAGTCCTAGGGGATCCAATACCCTCTTGAGGCTCTATAGACAGTGGGCTTGCACGTAGTACACAAACCTACAGGCAGGCAGAATACCTACGCACAAACTAAATTCTGAAAAGACTGTAATGAAGCCTGATGCGCGATGAGACAGATATGAAGCCAGGCGCAAAGGCCCATGCTCGGAGCCCCAGCACTCAGGAGGTGGGGGGAACAGGTCAGATCAAGGTCCTCCTCCGCTACCAAGTGAGTTTGAGACCAGCCTGGGCTCCGTGGATGACTCTGGGAAACATTACAAATTAAGCAAAATGACATTAAAAAAAAAAATCTCAACCGGGGTGGGGGGGGGGGGGGGGGGGGGGGGGTGGCGCACGCCTTTAATCCCAGCACTCTGCCTTTATGGAGTCCAGTGCCTATGGTGGGACACCTAATGCAGCCTTGATGCCGGGAGAAGGAAGGTCTTGGTCCTGACTCAACTGAATGTACCAGGCTCTGCTGACTCCCTATGAGAGACCTAGCCTTGGAAGAGGTGGGAATGGGGGGGGGGGAGGCTGGAGGGCGGGAAGAGGGAGGAGAGGGGGATCTGTGGTTGGTATGTAAAATGAATAGAAAATCTTTTAATAAAAATAAAATAATCCCAGCACTCGGGAGGTAGCGACAGGAGGATCTCTGTGAGTTCGAGGCCAGCCTGGTCTACAGCGTGAGCTCCAGGACAGCCAGGGCTGTTATACAGAGAAACCCTGTCTTGAAAACAACAACAAATCTCGCATAATATGGCTCTACCTTTGGAAGAAGCCAGCAAATGCATAGATACCCAAAGTGAATCACCGCTTGCCATTGGCAGAGCAGATGATAGAATGGCTGTTGACTTCATGCTTTGCAACTTGAGGAGAAATGATAAGATCACCGTGGTAAAAAGCAGATTACAGTTGCACTATGAATACAACAAAAATCACAGAATTGGGCACTTTTGAGTTTTAGGGTACATAAATCATACCTCAACAAAGATGTTACGTTTCCCAATTAGAGTCATTTCATCCCATTAATTTCAGAGACCATGGGCGGAGGGAGAGTCCCTGCTTTGTGGAGGAGGCGATTCAGGGGATGGCAAGATAAGGTTGGATGAGTCTAAAATGGGTCTGGCGCTCAAACGGTTAGATAGGGAGAACCACGCTGGGATCCCCTAAATTGGAGTCCTAAAATGTTTAACCTTGGACTAATGTCGCCTCTTTTGACCTGCCAAATGGGGACGGGCGACCTTTGGGAGGAGAGAAAGAATCCCCCTAAGAGGCGCCCACCACCTGCTGTTGTAAGGGGCTCGCAGCCGGCCTGGTAGGCGCTTAGCTGGGGGCTTTGATAACTGGGACAAGCTGGCTTCCACCTGCTCTCTGCATCCAGGGTAACGCGTCTGGCGGTTGCCTAGCGACGAGCCTGCCTCAGGCAGCATGGCGACCAGAGACTCCAGCGCGAGCGACAGAAAGACCGGGACCTTGAGCACCGCTGTGCACGAGCACCTTCGGAAGCTGTGTCTGCGTGAATTCCCGTGTGGCACCGGGAGCTGGGTGGGTGCTCCCCACGAGGCGGTGGGGAGGGAGGCAAGGGTCCCGCAGAGGTGGACCTGGGACGGAGCCAGAGTAGCCACAGGGAGTGGACCGGAGTAGGTGGTACCTAGCTGGGACCTGGGCTGCCCTCCGGGTCAGGAGAGGCTCAGATGCGCGAGCGCTTGAGGCCCGAGGAGAGGTTTGGATGTGGTCGTTTGGGCATTGGCTGGTTTGGGAGTTGGGGTGAACCGTGGGGACTGGAACACTGAAGGGGTTCGGGGCCAAGTGCTCACCTTGCTATGGGGGCACCGACCTGGAACGGACGGACCCAGCACATCAAGCTGCCCTTTGGCCTCACGCTAGCCCAGAGCACCCGGCTGGCCAGCCTCCAGGTGCCAGAGTGAAGCGATCCCTGAGTGAAGGAAGAGCTTTGGTCTTGAACAGTTTGCTCTGCAGCCTCTCATGAGAAGATGTAGAGGGGATGATCCCCTGTGCTCTGGGTCTACAGGGCTGGCTTTCCCCTTTCTGAGGACTCCTGTAGCTGGAAAGCCTAGGTGCTCCATGACCTCTGCCCCCGCTTCCAGGCTGAGGAGAGACGGAGGGAAATCCAGCCGAGGGCACAGTCAGCAAGCACAACTGGAGGAAAAAAAATCTGGTCCGACCGGGCGGGAAGGTCCTTTCTCTATTGCCTTGGCTTGTGCATTCATCTTGCTCAGTATGCAGAGGGACCGCGACCGATGTCATCAGCTGGGTTGCACAGGGTGGCGATGAGAAGCACGGTTAGATTTAGAGGTCCGGCAGATGTGTCTTAAGAGGTCGGAATCAGCCAGATGAGGTCTTGGCTGTCAGCTGGACACCCCGCCCCCCCCCCCCCCCCCCCGCCCCGCCCCGCCCCGCCCCGCCCGCCGCCATGCTCTACCCAGGTAAAACAGCCAAGCTGGCCTTCCCTCTGTAGAGGCAAACAGACATCCATCAGGGACACACTCCATTTGTTTGGTCAACAGATGCAGGCCGAATGCCTCCCCTAGCTTTGGAACATCTGGGGAGAGATGAGGCTAAGTGGCAGAGGGTTTTTGGCAAGTGTTTGTCCAGGGTGAGGACTTTAGTCCCACCCCCAGCACCAAAGAAAACACGCCCATAAAATCTGAAGAGCCGGATTTCAACCGTTGCCTGGAGGGAGTGGATTCTGAGGAGCAGACTCATCTTTTACTCCGAGGAGCTCAAGTTTTACCTTTCACCTTGCCGCCTCTTCGGAAAGCCGTCCCTCCTCTGTGAATCTTCAGTTTCCCAGATCGCCCACCCAGCCTCCTGTACACACTTGCATGAAGTGCCGTGTCGAACATGGAATCTCCTCTTATTGCATTGATTCATTACATTATTCTTTTTTTTTTTTTTTTTTTTTTTTTGGTTTTTCGAGACAAGGTTTCTCTGTGTAGCTTTGCGCCTTTCCTGGAACTCGCTTTGGAGACCAGGCTGGCCTCGAACTCACAGAGATCCGCCTGCCTCTGCCTCCCGAGTGCTGGGATTAAAGGCGTGCGCCACCACCGCCCGGCTCATTACATTATTCTTAATAGGATGCCTCTGTGTGGGTATGTGCCTGTCAGGGCGGATTCTCCCAGGCTGGAAGAGTGCATTGGATCTCCCGAAGCTGGAATGATAGGCGCTTTTGGGCTGCCTAATGTGGGTGCCGGGAACTGAACTTGGGTCTTCTGGAAGAGCAGCAAGCGCTCTTAACTACTGACTGAGCCACTTCTCGGGGCCCCAAATCTATTCTGTTTTGCACATTCAAAGTTCCCAACTCCAGATGTGAAAACAGGAACTTGGTCTTTGAACTATTCTGTGTCTTGTTAGGTGTGGTGGTGCACATCAGTCATTTCAGTACTTGGGAGGCCGAGGCAGGAGAATTGAGAGTTCAAGGCCAACCTGGGCTACACTGCAAGACTCTGCCCCCACAAATAATTATCATGTGCCAGGCATGTAGCTTGGTCGGTAGTCTTTTCTAGCATTCACAAAGCCCTGGGTTTGAGCTCCCACATCTCATCACACCTCATGTGGGGGGGGGGGTGCATGCCTATAGTCCCTCAACTTGGGAGGTAGAAGCAGGAGGATCGAGGGGTTTGAGGTAACCGTCTGTCAGCTATGCAGTGAGTTCAAAGCCAGCCTGATCTACTTAAGACCCTGTCTCGGACAGGCAGGACCAATGTGACGGTTCAGTGTGTCAAGTTCTTCATGTCAACCATGATGAGCTGCGTTTGATCCCTGGGAACCAAGTGATAAGAGACAAGCAATTCCTGGAGATCTTTCTCTGAGCCCAGGAAGGCTATTATTGATTGCATCCAGAATTAACTAAAATCCAAGTAGCTGGGTACATCCGTGAGGGATTTTTTTTCCCCTTAAATAAATCATCTGAAGCGAGAAGACCACTTTTTGTTTTGTTTTGTTTTTCAGTTTTTTGAGGCAGGGTTTCTCTGTATAGCTCTGGCTGTCCTGGAACTCGCTCTGTAGAGCAGACTGGCCTGGAACTCACAGAGATCTGCCTGAGTCTGCCTCCTGAGTGCTGGGTTGAAAGGCGTGTGTCACCACTGCCTGGCAAAAAGACCCACTTTTCATCTGGATCTTTTGAAGTGGGAAGACCCACTTTTCATCTGGATCTTTTGAGGTGGGAAGACCCACTTTTCATCTGGATCTTTTGAGGCGGGAAGACCCACTTTTAATGTGGGCCACACCTTCCGCTGGCCGCCTGTGTAAAGGACATGGAAGAAGGAAGCCGGCTCTCTTTGCCTGCTTGCTCTTGCTCTCTGTGGCGAGTCCACTCCTTCACTGGCATTAGCGCCGACTTCTTCAGGATTCTGGCGTGCACTGAAGATGAGCTGAGACATCCAGCCTTGTAGGCTGAACCATTACTGGATTCTTGGACCTGCCGTGGTAGACAGCCATTGTTGGACTAGCTAATAACTCCCCTTTAATCCTGTGTGCATGTGTGGTTTCATATTCTATACGCTTTGTTCCTCTAGAGAACCCTGACTAATACAGAGCTTCACGCGCACTTGAAGTGGTGGACACATGAACACACACGCAGGCACGACCCAATAAAGCAATGTGAAAAGGCTTCTATCTCTATCTCTGCAGAATAAGTCACGCTTTCTTCCTCAAAGATGGCGAACCTGGAGGGAGTTGGTCCCCAAGGAGGAGGAGACAGTGAGCGCCCAGGAAGAGACTGTGGAGACCCTGCTGGGCTTGGTCCGCAGCACCCACTCTCCCTGGGTTTTGATGAAGGACTCCAGTGCTGAGGACCGTTTCCTGAGAGAACTGGCCATCCAGCATCCACTGATGATCAAAGACGCTTTCTTCTATTCCTATTTCCGGTCCCTGCGGGTGGTGGACAAGGGGGTAAGTGCTGGGCTGAGCTCTGGGAGGGAGGGAGAGGGCAGCCTCGGGAGCTGGTCCTGGGGGACCCTGGGCAACAGGAGGGCCTTGGTGACCTTGGTTGTTCAACTCTCTCCCTGTAACCGTCTGTTTCTAAGCCCGGAGGAACTCAGTCCTGGATCCTCTTTGGCTAATTCCTTGCACACTCTGCAGTGGGTCCTCCTAGTAAAGACCTTTCAGGGGACCACAGTGTTTCTTTTTAGAGTGTGAAGAGAGGACTGGAGAGGGCTGGCTAACACCCAGCAGGTCTGCTTTTGACAAGCTGTCATATTAATAAGACCTAAAAATGGGAAGGACACCTAGCCTCCCTGAGTCCTTCCTTCTCCTGTGACCCACTCATACCATTTTGTCTGGGACTTTCTGAGTCCTGGGGAAACCCCCCAATCCTGGGCAACCTAGGAGACTGGGTCCCTGTACGAAAGGGAAGCTCAGCCTGGAAGGGCTTCTGGTGTCCCGAGGCCACAGGAAATTGGGGTTCACGGGTAGGGTGAGGAGGCAGCTGGCGGGCCCTGCTCCGCCTGACCCACAGCCATTCTGGAAGACCAGGCAGGGCAACTGTTACATGATATTCTTGGGAAGATGTAAAATTTAACAGGAAGTGCCAACAGCCTCAAGAAGGACTCACTGGAATTCATGTTGGTGAGTCTAATGTGTTTATTGAGTTGCTTGTGGAAAGGATGAATGCAAACACTTGCCTCCCTGCCCAGATCTCCCTACATCCTTCCACTCTCCCATTTACCAAAATCCTCTTTGGTTTGCCTCTGAGTTCACAGAGGGACCTAGGCAAGCTGAGTACAGGCTCGGACTACAGGGTGCAGACAAAACCAGACCATACCAATGAGTGTTTTTGTGTGCTCCCGGACCCCCGCTGGTCGCAGGAGACACTGTTTGCGTGGCCTCAAGAACAGCTAAAAGGCAGCAAGGTGGAATTGCCCTGAGGGTTGGTCCCCCTTACAGCCGTAGATCCTTGGGCTCATGTGCTGTGTAGACAGAAGAAGGATTCTTGTTTTCACAAGAGTCCCGTGACCCAACATAGGAAGGACACAGGACACTGGCCTGGAGAGCTTTAGAGTCAGGGCTGGGCTGGAAGAGGTCCCTTTAACCCTCAAAACCATCCCCTGTGGGCGGTGAGGTAGGAGAGGAAAGGATGGGAAGTGGGTGGACCTGGGGCTTACCTGGGAAAGGATGACCGGATGCGGTACTCCGACTGAGAGGTGTCCCCCACAGACTCGGGGGTCTAAACCCTTGTTCCCCAGTTCTTTTGGGGACGGAGTGGAACCTTTGGGAGGGGCAGCCTTGCTGGAGGACGTCCATCCCTGAGGGCCTGTAGCTTCACCCCACTTTCTTGTTCTCTCTGCTTCCCGTGTGTGGTTGGAGCGTGATCGCTCAGCTTCCTGCTGCCAGGCCTTCCCCTCTGTTATGGACACCTCGCCGCCTGGAGCCATCAACTCCTCCAACATAAACTCCTCCTCGAGTTGCTTTGTCACGGGGTTTTGTCACGGCAGCAGGACAGTAGCTGACACTGCTGTTCCCTTCCTCCTGTGAACATCCAGTGCCGCCTGGCTCGCCCGAGTCCTCAGTTTCCCTTCCTCTCCTTCCAGGTGAATCTGGTGGATAAAGACCTCTTGAAATTTCTCAAGCTGGAGGAGTTGATTCTGAGTGCCAATGAAATTGAGGAAATCGATGCCAATAATCTGCCCCCAACATTGAAGGTACAGGTTCTGTATGGGGGCTTAGGGTAGGCAGCTCAGGAGGGCCCGCTCTTAACGTGACCTGCATAGCCCTGGCTAGGGTGGCTGTGTGCTAAGAACCACCCCCAGGCTTCTAAAACATAGGTCTTGGCCGGGCAATGGCGGTGCACCCCTTTAATCCCAGCACTCGGGAGTCAGAGGCAAGCGGATCTCTGTGAGTTCGAGGCCAGCCTGGTCTACAGAGTGAGTTCCAGGACAGCCAGAGCTATGCAGAGAAACTCTGTCTTGAAAAACAAACAAACAAACAAAACAACAGGTCATGTTTCTTAAAAAGTTATCTAATCCTATTGGACTTGGCAGTTCCCTCCCATTCAGGGCGCATGCCCACAAGAACAGGAAGGAAGGAAGGACCCAGGGAAGGCCTTGCTTTCTAGTCCTGCTATTCCCAACAGTGACCTGAGACCTGTGGCCACATGAACAGATAAATAAAATGTGGTCTCTCCATGCAATGGAATATTGTCCACTTGTTTAAAAAAGGAAGAAAACATCACATTAGATGAAAGAAACCAGATTTCAAAGAGAGATTTTTTTTAAATAATTTATTTGTATTTTATGTACATTGGTGTTTTGCCTGCATGTATGTCTGTGTAGGATGTCGGGTCCCCTGGAACAGGAGTTACGGACAGTTGTGAGCTGCCATGTGTGGGCCCTGGGAGTTGAACCCGGGTCCTCTGGAAGAACAGCCAGTGCTCTTAACCGCTGAGCCGTCTCTCCAGCCTGAGAGAGGGATCTTATGTATAATTGCACTGAATGCAATATGTAGAAGGAGAAAGTCCACAGAAACAGAGGCCAGGAGAGGTCACGGGGCCTGGAAGAACCCGGAGAACTTACTGCTTAGAGGGGGTTTTGCTTGTTTTGTTTCCTTCAAACGTCTGTTTGAGGTGATGGCGGGAGCTGGCATTGTGGGTGTCATTAAAGCCTGTGCACTGTGTGCTTGAACCGGCAAGTTTGCGGGTTCTGAACTTCACCATGTTAAAACAATAGGTGAGGGCTCGGGAGCTCGCTCTGGGTAAAGGGATTGCCTTACAAGCATGGAGACTTGAGCTGGCTCTCCAGAACCCATGCGAAAAATGTGGGGTGTGCTTTTAATCTCAGTGTTGGGGAGGCAGAGACAGGGGGATCACTGTCTGGCCAGCCAGCCTGTCTGTATAGTAAGTTCCAGGTCAATGGGAGACTTTCAAAAAACAAAGGAAGTGACTTCTGAGGAAGCGGAGGCTGGCTCCTGGCCTCTACACACACACACACACACACACACACACACACACACACACACACACACGCGCGCGCGCGCGCACACGCACACGCACACGCACACGCACATGCACATGCACACACGCACACACGCACACACCTCAGATAAGACCAGACTTTCTCATGCTAAGCGTATCAAAAAGGCCCCACTGACGGTCAATGTGGAGAGTGGGAGACTCTGTGCCTTGTCCCGGCCCATGCTCAAGACAGTACCAGATGGGCCTTAGTCAAGTGTGTAGTGAAGAAAAGGATGTTGCTAAATCAGGGCTTATTCTGTGGTCCACCCCGTCCCTGTGTATTCCCATGGGTTAAGAAGGTTTTAGGGGGGCTGGAGAGATGGCTCAGAGGTTAAGAGCTACCAGAGGTCCTGAGTTCAATTCCCAGCACCCACAGGGTGGCTCACAACTATCTGTAATGAGATCTGGTGCCCTCTTCTGGCCTGCAGGCAGAACACTGTATATGTAATAGCTAAATAAATAATATAAATAAATAAATACATACATAAATAAAACTGTTATTTTTTTTTTTTTTAAACAAAGAAGGTTTTAGGGAGGTGGTACACACCTTTAGTCCCAGCACTCGGGAGGCAGAGCCAGGCGGATCTCTGTGAGTTCGAGGCCAGCCTGGTCTACAGAATGAGATCCAGGACAGGCTCCAAAGCTACACAGAAAAACCCTGTCTCGAAAAACTGGGAGAAAAAAAAAGAGGATTCTAGGCTGTATGCATCTGGCTCCTGTGGGAGCCCGTTCTGGAGTTCCTCGTGGCTTTACCCAGCAGGTCCGAATAGAGGATGATCAGGACCACGGGCCTGAGTGCAGGTGTCTGAGATGGTCTGCACTTGGCTGTGCTGGGGGGGAGGAGATCTTTTGCTCCACCCCTTGGTGTCTCTATAAAAACCCTGGACCAGAGACAGTCCGGGCCCGTTGGAATAGGTTCCAGGCCCTCTCGAGGCTATCCTTTATTTTCTATCTGTTCATCTCTGCAAGATTCTCCGCTATAAATCCTTCTATCTAATATTTCCTGCTGCTCGCACTCAAGAAAACTCTGGGAAGCTGTGGGGGTGGTGGGTAAACGCCCCACAGGCTCCAAGCACTCCCTTCTGTCTCCCCTTCCAAACTGCACAGAACCTTCCCCTGCTCGGGCAGCATGGTCTTCCTACCCCACCCACCCCCATTTGATTTCTCTCTTGAGACAAGGTGCTGCGGTGTAGGCTAGGCTGACTTGGAATTTCTGTGTAGCCCAAGGGAGGCAGGAACTCGAGAAGCTTCTGTGTCAGAATCCTGGGTGCTGGGGTTGTAGGTCCATGCCCCCTCACCCACTCTTCCTACAGTAAGTTTTTTTTTTGTTTTAAATGTTATTGTTTTGTTGGGGGGGGTCACGTGTGCCGTGGTACATGTGTGGCAGTCAGAGGACAGCTTTACAATTGTGTCTCTCCTTCCTCTCTGGGATTTGGGCGTCACACTCAGGTCAGCGGGCTTGTGAAGCAAGGGCTTGTGCTAATTCTCACACCCCCACCCCTTTGGTTTTTTTCGAGACAGGGTCTCATGTATTCTAGCCCGGACTCAAACTCACTGTGTAGTCGAGGATGATACTGAACTCTTTTTGTTGTTTTGTGGTTTGTTTGTTTGTTTTTTTCCAAGACAGGGTTTCTCTGTGTAGCCCTGGTTGTCCTCGAATTCACTCTGGAGACCAGGCTGGCCTCGAACTCACAGAGATCCGCCTGCCTCTGCCTCCCCAAGGGCTGGGATTAAAGGCGTGTGCCACCGCTGCCGCTGCTGCCGCCGCTGCCACCACCACCACCACCACTGTCTGGTAACCTTGAACTCTTTATCCTTCTACCTGTCAAATACTGGGATTACAGGAAGATACCACCCGCTTGGTTATTCAGTAATAGAGATGGCATGGCCCTCGGGGTCCTGCGCATGCTAGGTAAGGTCCTGCGCATGCTAGGTAAGGTCTCGTCCAGTCCAGCTACACCCCAGCCTCTTACTGTATTTTTTTTTTTTTTAAGCAAGTTGTCAACCCAAACTCCCTTCTGCCTTTCCCAGGGCAGGAGCAGGGGGCGCCTGTGGTGAGTGAGACCAACCCCTCCAGTCACGGTTGATGACTCCTTCTCAGGTGCTGGAGCTGTACGGCAACCTGATCAGCAGCATGGAGTGTCTGTGCTCACCCGCACCCCCGAACCTGCAGCACCTGGGGCTCGGCCACAACAAGCTGCTGGGCCCTTTGCAGAGTCTGTATGTCACCTCCAACAACTGGTAACTTGGGAGGCTGGGAGAAACAGGGAGGGGTGCGGGGGGTGCGGGAGAGGCCTTAAGAGCCGGGTGTGGGTGACTGGACCCTGGTTGTTCTGTGACTTCTACGAGGCTGCTAAGGCCACACTAGGAGTTTATAGTCTCACTCAATTGTAATATCCCACTGAAACTCCAGGAAGGACTCGGATGCCCGGGGCCCCGTAGGGATGAGTGGGATCCATCCATACTTGATGACAGGGTCTCAGCTCAGCCCTGTGACGTTTCAGCTGATCATGCTTTCTGTCTGGGGGACATTTAGCAGCACACCGGCCTCCAGCCGCTCTGCTGGGGGCTAGTGGGGCTCTCCCTCTCCCTGCCCTTCCTCGTGGTCATCAAAAATCTGCAGAGGCGGAGCCCAAGGTCTTCTGAGGAGCAAACCATCCCAGGCTGAGAACCACTGTCCTAGAGACTTTTGGGGTGCTCCATTGCTGCTGACCATCCATTAGAGCTTGTGCAGGGCACCCTTTCCCATCCTCGGTTTTTGTCTCCTCGGTGGATTAACAGTGGGAAACTTAAAATTCAGGATTTGAGGAGTGTGATGAGATCAGAGGCCTTTTTTTTTTTTTTTTTTTTTTTGGTTTTTCGAGACAGGATTTCTCTGTGTAACCATCCTGGATATCCTGGAACTCGCTTTGTAGACCAGGCTGGCCTATGAACTCATAGAGATTCCCCTGCCTCTGCCTCCCAAGTGCTTGAATTAAAGGCATGCACCACCACCGCCCCGGCAGAGGCCACTTATAAAATGCATCTGTCACAGGGAATTGGGGCAGAAGGACAGGCCCCTGGGAGGAGCCCCAGGATTTCAGCCCCTGAGGGTATTTGCATAGGTGGAGTTTTATACTGCCCCCTTCTCCATGTCTCCCCTGCCCCCCTCTCCCCCTTCTTTGGAAGACAGGATCTAATGTAGCCCAGGCTTGCCTCAATCTCAACACACAGTAGAACTCCTGATCCCCTACCCCAATATCTCAAGGACGGTCCAACCATTGCCTCTTGGAGACCGAAGATGTTGTGAGAAGTGAAGGCCCTCTCTGGTGCCCTCAGGCTCAGGCTTCCTCTGCTGTTCTCAATCTGCATAGTCTCTAGGCTCACTGGGATTCCTTCCTCTGTTGTCCTCTGCCTTCAGCAAACAAGACAGACAGGACCCCCCCGCACACGCACACACACACACACACACACACACACACACACACACACTCTTATCTCCCGTACTTGATCTTCCTGGGAGAGCCAATTTAGGTTCATGCTGTTGACTGAGAGCAAGTATCTGGCTTTTTGATTCAAAATATATACCATAACCTTGGGCTTAATGCCAGCTCTGGACTTCACAAGAAGCTTGCACAAACCCCACCATTCCCTGTTAGCTAAAAGGGAGACTCTTTCCTGGGACTCCACTTCTCGCCAGTTCTCTTGAGGAAGGGTGACATTGCTCAGGGTCTGCGACAATCCCTTGCAGTGTTCCTCTTGCCATTTTCCAGGGACCGGCCAGCGACTGTCACAGCAGATCAGGCCGTGGGGAGAGGGGGGACAGAGCAGAGAGAGTGCAGAGGCTGGGTTCAGCCTGTGGGAAAGGCGCTGGCGTGACCATGACAGTCGCCGGGACAGTATTCCCTGGTGCTTCTTCGGCCTCTGGTCTCGGAGTCCGGCTTGCCCTGTGGCTTGTGGCATCGGACAGAGCTCTGCCTGTTCCTGCGTCTTGGTCTTCACCGGAGGCCTGGGCTTCATCGTTGCCCGCCTGTCTCATGGACTCACACTAGAATATTCTTTCTTCTTCTCCCATGTTCCCTAGAAGTTGAGCTGGCCAGCTCCCTGTGGCCATGGCCGTTAGGGCTTTGAAGAGAGATTTCCAGCTCTGTTATCTCTGCATGCCAGAGCCCAGTGCACCCTTCTTCCTGATCCCCCTCCTCCCCACCCTCCTCCCCACCCTCCTCCAGCGGCTTCCAGCGTGTCCGTCAGTGGGGATTTGTGAAGAACCTTCTAGAGGCACGGCACTAGGCTGCTAGTTAACAGAGAGGGAGGTGCAGGTGGAAGGGAGGTGGGGGTCGCTAGGAGAGTCCAGGAACTCAGGCTGTGTGGCCGGAAGAGAAAGGAGACACAGGCTCAGAGCTGATCCGGGTCCGGGGACAGAACAGGGCGTGTGGCCCAGAGTGCCGTAGCCCCGCTCACCAAACTTCCTAACCAGTAGCGTGGCCAACCTTCCAGGCCCAAACTCGTCTCCCTGGACCTGGGCTTCAACGACTTGACCGACCTTCAGAGCATGATAGGGGGGCTCCGCACCCTGCAGCACCTGAGGCTGCTAGTGCTGCAGGGGAACCCACTGGCCCTGGTGCCATACTACCGTGGCTTCACCGTGGACAGCCTGACGCGCCTCTGTGTGCTGGATGACGTCACCGTGTCCCCCAGCGAGAAGCACCAGTTTCGGGGACTCAGCATCCACGGTGGTAGGTGCCTCGCACGTCCCCGGCCTCTGTTTCACCCAGAAGCTCGCCAGCAGCTCTCTGCTTGCCCTTGAACCCGGCTCGGGTACACTAAGCTACCTTGGTTGGGCTTTCTCTATGTAGGTAGGACCCCTGTGGTTGTTGGGACTTGGGGCGGCTTCTGTTCCGGGTAGATCTTGTTTCTGTGGTGGCTTGACATCACCCCCTTGTGGCTCCTGGTACAAGGTGCACCAGAGCCCTTGACAGTCCAAGCGGGGTGACTGGGGTGGGGGGGTGGTCGCAGTCACAGACACCAGCTGAAGTAGCAGAGGTTTCCCACCTCTGTCTCTCAGAACTGTCTCTGCCACGCACCTCTCAGCACCCCCATTGGGCAAGTCGGAAAACAAGGCCTCAGAGCATCTAACGGCTCACTCCCACTGAACTTGGCAGAGTCGGGGCTCTAGCTGCGGGGG